AGCTTTCCAAGTCAGTTGTGTACTGTTTGGCCCAGTCAATAGTAACAGGGAATGGGGGGGTGGGGGGTGGGACAGGGTTTTTCCATCAAGTCAGCCTTGACTCCTGGCATCTGCAAGTCCCTGCGGTTTTCTTGGCAAAGTTTTTCAGAAGTGGTTTGCCATTGCCTGCTTCCTAGGACTGAGGGAGAGGGACTGGCCCAAAGTCACCCAGCTGGCTTCATACCTAAAGCAAGACTTGAACTCACAGCTTCGTGGTTTCTAGCCTGGTGCCTTTAACCACTACACCAGACTGGCTCTCAAAAGCAAGAATAGCTTTTCCCAATTTAAAACTGTATTTACATCCTTTTTATTTGAGGAACATTATAACCATTATCCACAACCATCAAGCTGGGTCATGCCATCAGTTGAAATGGATGTTTCATCTTTCATGCTGAAGTTTTCCTCTGTCTTACACCAAGAAAGAAAACTCGTTGTATTGTCAAAGTATATTAGAATACACTGGGAAAATTAGAGAAAATTTCTAGCACCTCAGCCATCCTCTATTTGCCTGTTGTGGTATCACATTTTATTTTACTATTGGAATAAATTCTTATAGTTAAATGGTGAAAAGGAGAGAAGATCTGTGCTAGTTAAAAATTTATTTCTTCGTAGTAATCCCATTGATGAAAGTATATTAAAAAGTGCTTTAAATCTTTTTAATTAAACCCTCATAGTTCAGTTAAGGGAATGAACTGACATCCTGTCTGATTATTTGTATGTATGTTTATCAATTTGTTGTTTTTTTTAATACCACAGACATTTTATTATAATTTTTATAAATGTAAGTAAATTGCCAAAGTGTCTTTTTACTAAGGCAGAACAAGTCTAATACTGTACGTACATACATACATACATACATACTGTACATAAATTTGTTCAAATTAACATATAAGGTAGGGAGGAAAATCACCTAGTTCCATTAACACTCTTTGAGCAGTTATGTCTGCCTGGAAAAATATTGACCAGATGGCCAAGTATCACTAATTTGTCAATTAAATTTAGAAGTAAACTATGATGCTCATATTGGCTTAAACATAATTTGAGAAGGGAAATTAAGTATTAATGTTGATGTCTTATATTGGAATACTCCCCAAAGGAAGAGATTTTAAAAATGTATGCACAAATGTATACATAAATTTTTAAAATATCCTCTTGCTTCAGTTTAAAACTATGGCACATATTTATGAGATTTCATATGAAAATTCTATAAAATAAGAGTTATCGGTGGCTTGTGGTTTTTTCTTCTAATTTTTATAATTTATTAGACAACTCATGACCCATTGGGTCATCGTTTTAGAGATATTTCCTTACCTAAACAGAGAAACAGAATGACCAAAGGCAAAAAAGCGGTGGGAGTGGGAGTGACTTGCTGCCGGCTTCCCTGGTTTTGCTTGTGGGAAGCTGGAAGTCAGAAATCATAATAGTCATAATAATGCTTATACGAATACATTAATTGATCAATTAATTAATTAACATGAAACTGAGCAAACTCAGGAAGACAGTGAAGGACAGGAAGGCCTGGCACGATATGGTTCATGGGGTCACGAAGAGTCGGACACGACTTAACGACTGAACAACAACAACAATTAATTTGTATTATGTCAAATACTGCAGCCAAAGTCTTTTGCTCTTTTTTAACAATCATGTATCTATTAGTGATTTGAGTTATTTCCTCCCTAATGCTTTGTCTTCTTTATAACTGCAGTTTCAATAAAAATCCAGTCTATGATGTTCTGAATAAGTGTTGGCATGTTGAAAATCAGTAGGATTAGTGATCCTTGAAACAGTTAAAGATTTTTTTATTTGTTGGCTGCCATGTTAATTTGATCTTTATGAAGAGGACAGAGAGAAGAGAGAAGAAAAAAAGAGATTTTAGTCTAATGTGAAAGGAAGACTCTGGATTTCAGAAATCAATGATTCTGATAATTACCTAAGTGTCGAATGCTATGCATGAATAATGTAAGACAGTTTTGTGTAAATGTGCAAAAGTCAAGCTATCCTTGCAGTGTGTCACATTGTCAATTGCTAGCAATTTCCTGTGTTTTCAAAAACCACCAGCAGCAATTTGCAGGAAAGATGAGAGCTGTTACGATACAATGTGTGACATTTTCTTGATTTAAACTGTCGTTATGAAAAGCTGTTAACTCAGATCTGGAGTTTTAGTGAATATATAAAATTTAGTGGAATACTTTTTAAAGCTGGGCTTCATCTCTGTGTTGTGGTTGTTAAAAGCTCAGCCCAGACATTGAAGTATGTGTGCATAAAGATTTCCATTTTCAAGGAGTATTATACACAATTATCTTTGGCATTCGCACAATGTGATGGTGTGTGCTGACATTTTATACCACATAAATACATTAATATATTACTTAAATATCACCACTCTTAGAAAGACATGCCAAAAGTTTGATGATAATGTTTTTGACAGGTGGTAACAAAATAATACATTGAAAATTTATTTTATTATCTTTCTAGAGCTAATGTTTACAGTTCATTTAGAAATCCAGAGGGGAAAATCCATTTAAACTCATTCAATGAAGTTCTTTTTAGTTCTCTAGTTAAAGATAAGGTGCCAATAATGATTGCTGTAAATAAGTGGAATCATATAAGGACAGTTTATATATCCTTTCCCCTTAAACTGCTTTATGAGAAATTATCTGCAAACAGAAAAATGGATTTTCTCCAGAAGGATCTGCCTTCAACTTGGTACTTCAGGTTTTCCAATGATACATCGATCATTGCTATAAATGAGTTGATCCACCTTGCTCCTGGTCATCATCTTCTTTCTTTCCACCTGTCTCAGCATTATATACTT